CCTTCGGATTGGTTCCCGAGCTCGCGCGTGAGCTGGAACACTCTCGCCGCACAGAGCGCCGGCATGCGGATTCTCCGGCCACGGCCGTCCACCTTCGTGTGGCGATCCTTCGTCGAGCTCCGCTTCGGAGGCGGCTTTCTAGCGGCGGCGGATGAGGAGTCCCCGGCAGCTGGTTCAGCGTCGGCGGCAGAGGAGGAAGAGGGATGTTGGTGGTTGGTGTCGAGGAGTTGGAGAGGGAAGTTGGGTCGACGCATCGGGTTATGATGGTGGTCCGAATTATCCATGATCTTGTAATATTTTTTTTTTTTTTGGTGATGGTGGTGGGGAAGTGGGTCTGTGTATTCGTTAGATCTTTATATGAGCATCGTTTCTCTCTCTAACTCTGTTTATTTAGAGAGAGAAGCGGAGAATTCCATTGAAATGGGAGCTAAAGCTTGTGAAGAGGGAAGAAGAGAAGGTGAGAAGGGAACATTGAGTTAAAGCAATGAATATGAAAGCATAGACTTTTCTCTGCTTTCTCTCTCTCTCTCCAATTTTATTTTTCATGATTGTTATCTAAATTTTTTTTTATATAAATTACTAATCGATCCTTTTAATTTTTATTTTTATTTTAAATTTCCGTACAACTGAGATGCATGAATAAACAGAGCTTAGTATTTAATGGGCTGGTAAGTAAAATTGTTTACGAGTCGTACTGATGGATATAAAGCCGTTTCATTGAAATAAAGTATCAATGAAGATGACATGTCTGAGCTAAATTATTCGTATGAAAATTAATATCGGCACGTAATAATATGCCTCTTATTGTTGACAAATGACAAATCAAGCGCGTGATTAAATTTGCTCAGTCATGGCATTCACACACACACATACATACATACATACATGCATACATATATAATATAGTTTACGACATTATAACCACAGAGGAAAATAAAATAAATTCCATATACAAGATCTTGATAGTGATCCATGGAAGTGCACGAGATCCACATGATCAAATCCACTTCTTTTGATTCAACGGCGTATCTTTTTCTTGTGCATATAGAACGACATTTTTCATATATATATATATAAAAAAAAAATAGTCAATTTCTTCGTTAACTAATTAAAAAAATAAATAAATATTGTTAATTATATGGGGGGGGGGTATATATATGAACTATTATAGAGGCTACGAAACATGGGTAGAGAGAGCTATGACAAAAATTCCTGAATTAGATGTCCTTAAATTTACTTAAAAGGGGATATGTGTTTTATTATGCTAATTTTAAAAAAATAAATAAATAAATAAATAGATTAGAGATTAGATTATATGGGCACACACAGATGGGGCAGAATTCGGTTGCCGTGGATTTTGAAATGTCAGATTAACGTGTCAGAATGATTAGAAATCTGTGAGGAGCCAACTGCTAATTAATTAATCACTCATTAATTTGTCAGTCCATTTTCCACCATTTTTGGCATATTCTATTTCTCCAATGAATTACATCGATGCGTTTTCCGTTTTCACTGTTTTCTAAAACGCCGCGTTTCAAGCTCTCGATAGAATATAACAAAAGCTAACATAACTTTTAAATTTAGTTTGTTTTATTTTTTTAATTTATTTTCCCTATGGTTTCAATTTGAATTTTCCCCATCTAAACATATATATATATATATATATATGTGTGTGTGTGTG